CGGAATATTCTGCACGTGGTGACAGCGTGCTCTGTGCTGCACGATTTGTGTGAGAGGAAGGGGGAGGTTTTCCTGCCAGTCTGGATGGCAGAGGCCAAGCACTTGCCAGCCTGTACACGCAGCTCCTCATGACTGCCAGCCAGGGGGGCCCATCGGGGGACTGTCCATATCCAGAAGGCCCTGCAGGACAGCTTCCACCCAGAGGAGGACTAAAGTCTCACTGGTGTGCCCCACTGGGGGCTTGTACTTCATTCCACCCTAACATCCTTCCACTTACCCCTCCTTAACTCTCCTTCCTGATGTACAATAAAGGCACATGTGTTACAGAAAACAAACTCTCTTTATTGAAGAAAATGTGTGTGTGGGGGGGGGAAGAAGGCGGGCGACGAGAAGTGAGAGAGTGGGAGAGGAGAGGGGTAAACCTGGGAGGAGGGAACTGGAACAGGGAGGCAAGGGAAGGAAGAGCTAGGAGAAGCTGGCAGGTGGTCGCAGATTGCACGGCCCTGGGCAAGCAGCTCCCGCCCACTCTCCCACTGCAGCTGCAGGTCTTTGTATACCCAGTAGTCCAGGGTGTGGTGCAGGCTCACAGTATCCCTAGGTGCTGCTGCTGGTACTCCTGGTTATGTGTCAGCCTGCTGAGTCCCCAGGTGAGGGAGGATGTCCTGGGCAGGGTGGTGTGCTCTGCACTCGCAGCTGGTGCGGCTGTGGAGAAACAAGAGAGGTGGTCAGTTATCCCTGGGAACATAGTGGGTGAAGCCCAGCCCCGCTCCGTAAGGCAAGGACAACAGGTCTCCATACCATCAGAGCCAATGTGCTATCACAGAGGCCGTGTTCAGGATGTCCTGCTATCCCCGGGAGTGGGAGCTGGCCCAGGAGTGCACACAAGCCCCTGTGCTGTTTGTAGTGTGGGTCTGTGGGGAGTGGGGGGAGATGTCCCATGCCTCTGTGTAGAGGGGGCTTGTGGAGGGAGGGCATCCTGCTGTGTCCCACCCCAGGGTCAGGAGCAAGTCATGTGCCTTCATACATACACGCGTGTGGGTAACAGGCCAAGGCCCCTCTGATGGCTCCTTCCCCACTCTGGCATGATGAATGCATAAGTGGGGGCCAGCAAAAGTACCCCAAAACCTTATCTACCAGGCTTTGGTATGAAACTTCCCCCAAAAATCTTAACAACCTAGATTTTGGGAATAAAAGGCCACTGCCACCACACAAATATTAATAATGCACCCAGGGAAAGACTACTTGGGAAATCTCGCCCCAAGGACACAAAAATTAACCAATACCAGGTTAATAAAAAGGAAAGAGAAAGAACTTTAATTATCACCACAATATTCCTGTGGCGAGCATATGACTGGATAGAAAAGTAACAAAATAATATACTCATGGAGGAGAAATTTACCATGGGCTAGGAACTTAGTTACAAAGGAGAGCAAAACCCATTTTTAAATGCACAGACACTATAGCCCATTTTCTAAACCATAAAACAATAAAACCTAATGGATTTATCTAAACTTTATCCTACTTACAGACTGTGAAGAGTATTTTCATCCTGTCCCCTTCAATAGCTGGAGAGAAAACTACCCCACAGACAAAGGAGGGAAAAACCCCAAAATTCCATTGTCCCAGTTTGAAATTCCTACCTACATTTCTATTGCCTGCCTGCCACCTAGTTTAGGTAAGAGACATAGTTAACCTCTTAGTCTCCAGGATGCTGGCTAACCCTCATGATCATGACAGCCCCGAGTGGCAGCCAGCTGGGGCCATGTGCGCAGGGGTAGCACAGCACATGCACAGGTTGCTGCATGAGCCATGGCCAGCAAAGCCCATGTGAGCAGTCCCTGGTCTTCCTCCCCTCTTGCCCCCGCATAAGGGGACAGTGATGACACTCACATGTTGTTGCTTCCCCAGCCTCAGATAACACCAGCGACAGGTCTGCTGGGACGGCTTGGGGGCCCTGGCTGCGTAGCATGCTCCCTCCGGGCTCCTGAGGCTCCTGGCTCTCCTCCTCCACCGTGCCCTGATCCGGGCCCTCTGCCCCAGGGTCGATGACCACCTGGGGGGCATGGACCATCCCACCCCCCAGAATGTGGTCCAGGGCATCAAAATAGGGGCAGGGTGTCTGGGTCTGCCCCTGTTTGGGAGCTGCCCCCAGTGGCCCTGGCATAGGCCTGCTGCAGCTCATTGGTTTTCATCCAAACCTGTCCCTGGGTTCAGATGTGGCCTTTGGTGGCCAGGCTGGTAGCCATGCAGCAGTAGACGGACATGTTCCTCCATCTCGTGTGGAGATCGTGGACATTGCAGGCCTCCTACTAAACCACAGTGAGGTCTCTGATCTTGGCACTGGACCAAGAAGGCTCCCAACTTTTCCAGCCCCTGGCAGGCTCCTGGGAGCTGGCAGACTGGTCCTGGGGAGCTCATGCTGCAGCCCAGACTCTACCCCTTTAAGGGCTCCGAGGCGGAGGGGAAGGAGAAGAGTTTTCCTGTTTGTGCCCAGAGTAGCCAGCAGGGCACCCTGGGGAGGGCTTGAGGCCCCCTATTTCTAAATAAGCATCTACACAGAGCTTATTTCAAAATAGTAGTTTCGAAATTGATGCTGTTCCTCATGGAATGAGGTTTACCAACTTCGAAATAAGCCCTCTGCAAATAGCGGCCTGTGTAGACGCTAGTACAGTTATTTAGAAATAACGGCTGTTATTTCAAAATAACTTTGCTGTGTAGACATACCCATCTTACTACCTAATCCTTCAGTCAGTAAGGCAAGGTCTACACAGCAGCATTATTTTGGAATAACTGACATTATTCTGAAATATCATAGTCCACGTTTACACAGCAAGCAGTTATTTCACCATAATGTTGAAATAATGTAGAGGTGAAGGACCTCTCACTCTGACTCCTGTAACCCTCATTTTACGAGTAAAGGAAGTCAGAGGAAGAATGCTGTAACTCAGACTTCCTGTTGTATAGACAGGTCAAACGCCATATTAAGCTATTTGGACTTAAGCTACACAATTGACGTAACTCAAGTTGCATAGCTAATTTTGGCTTTAGCCCTGCTGTGTAGACGTGCCCCTACATTGCTGGTAATAAACAAAACTCACTTTCTCTTCAAGTCAGTACTTAATAATAATCTGTGGTTGGAGAACAATTCCATGGAAAGCACTATTCAAAGAATATTAGAAGACATCTTTTTGCAGCTTGAGCCTTTTCTAATTAATCCTAGCTAAGATTGAACACCTGTTGGAAAATACAGTTTCATTTGTAGCCAGCTACAATTTGACCCCTGAAATGAAGTCCTGTGATTCAGGACATTTAATAAAAAATAAGTGACTATTTGGCTATATCTACCTCATTTATAAGCACCATGAATTCCTCCTAAATTAACATAAACTGTCAAGTTAAAAAGATTGCTTTCTCCTTTAGTATTTTATTACAACAGACCATGAAACCCCCTCATACTTAAATTCTTCTTGTAAAAGAGTTCTTTGTGTTATGTTTGCTATTCATTGTGGTACACTTAAACTACGCCATTTAAACTGTACTCACTCTGAGGAATTAAGCCAAGGTATTTGTGTTTCAACGCTGATAATTCATTTCCTTGCCAGATGTTCAAATGATATAGGAAATAAACACTTGAAAGAAGGCAGAAGTTGTGTGTCTGGTTTACTTTACTGCTGCTAAGATCTTCCTTAGCCACCTATCAGATGCTTGTAAAACACATACTCTAAGCTTCTGAGAAATAACTTTCCATGCAACTGAGTATTTTTCTAAGATTCTAAGCTGGCCCTGTATATAACATAGGGATGTTTTACATAGTGAATATGTAACCCAAACACCTAGTATGCTTCAGAGGTTTAATACTCCATTCATCTGAAGAAGTAGATTGTGTTCATGAAAGCTCATGATACCAGCTACATGTTTTGTTAGTCTTTAAGGTGCTGCTACACCTAATATGGTTCACTGTCCCATGTAGTGGCACTTAGACCTGCAAGAGCTAAGAATAAAGGAGCTCTACAGCCTAAACCAAGAACCAGCTGGCTTTACAGCTCAAGCTATAGCACCACCTATACAGAGGTCCAGGGTTTAAATCTGCCTCTGTGATGATTTCTTTAAATCTGTTTACTTGTGAGTTAATTGACTGGTTAATCGGTTAGCTACCTGTATAGCACTGATCCACAGCAGAGGAAGAGTCTGCCTGGATTCCAATTGAAGATTCCCTACAAGCAAGTGGAGAGGTGGTTCAGATTCAAAATATGGTGCAAATTTGATGATCAGAGGCACAGACTGAGACTTTGGTGAACTAAATCTAAGCTTTTGGGATCTCAGTCTCTTATTGTATTTGTGTGGACTGAACTTTTCAAATTTTACTTTTAGTTTGCTCTTTACTTAGGTTTACTGTAACTGTGGGTGTCACGAGTCTGTATTGGTTTGCCCGTGTTACACAGCTGTTTTATTAGTCTAGACACCCGTGTCACTCCGCGTTACTCGCCCCACCCTCGGTGCCTATGCCATGAGGTACTCAGGCACCAAAAAGTTTTGTCTCAGGCTACAGTTCTTAGCTCGCCTGCCTGAGGCAGGGAGGGGGGTCCGGGCCCACCCACTCTCCCGGACCCCGGCCCAGGGCTCTAACACAGGGAACCAAGCTCCCTGTTATAGCAGGCGGGGGGTTCCCCTAAACTCACCTGCTCGCTGGCTTCACGACCCTGCCCTGGGCCAGTGTTCAACCCTGCCACCGGAGCCCCCTCTCGGCCCCGCTCAGCCGGATCCCCCCGCACCATCACCCCCTTTTTTGCCCCTTAACTCTTTCCTTTGCCTTTGCCCCTCCCCTGTCTGTGTCCTTCTCCCACCTTTTATCCGCTTCCCCTCCTCTTTGCCTCGCGGGTGCCATCAGACACCCTGATCGTCCCGCCGGCCCCTCCGCTCCGCCCCCTCCTGTCTCACCGGTGACATCACATGCTGTGACCGGCGGGGTGTGGTGTCGCCAAGTCCCTGCGCTGCGTGTGTCAGCCCCCTCCCCGTAAGCGCTTGTTGGCGCCTGCATCGCTGCTGCCCATGCAGTGCTGGCACACGCCTCTCCGGTGTCCTGTCCCTCTTGTTGTGTGTAGTGGCGGGGTTGCCTCACCCCGTCACAGTGGGCAATATCTGTGGGTTATAAAACAGCTTTGTTACATTGTAAGAATTAAATTATTATTTGTTTCTTCATAAGATTTTATAAAGTTATTTAATTAAATTATTTCTGTAGTTTCTTTTGAAACTTGAATGTAAGGAGGTTGACACTGGGCAATCCTTGCTGAAATACCTTACAAACTGATCTCTGGGTCTCCAGCTACTTTCTATGGGAGTGCGGGTTTTTTAGACACTGAAGAAAGGCAGTGAAGTCTAGCCATGCACATAATATATATTCTACTGAAAGAATATAACCATGTATTAGATTAGGGTGCTGATTTTAACTAGCATTATGCTTGTGTAATTGCATTTCATAAAATTCAAAGCAGTTACTCCCTCTGACTTACACCATCATGAGCTTAGAGTCAGGACTTAGATCTATAGTTACAGAATGAGATTTCATTGTGTTAAGTTTATCAAGTAAAGCCATCCAAGAAATTGGTGAAGACCAAATTAGGGGATTCAGATGCTCACCAAATATGGGTTTATATGTAAACAATTGATTTAAAGCTTCCTAATTTATATCAACAGAATTCCAACAACTCCAAAATACGAACTCCCTAGCTCATCCATCCAGTAGACGTGATTATTTATAGGCATAGTGTTTTTTATTTAAAACACCAGTAATTTCAGCAAACAAGGCCCAGATTTTATTCATGCTTATCCATATATCTGCTTCCCTATGCCTTGTAAAGGAGATATAATCAGAACATCACCAGCACATGGCCACTAAATTTCATCACAATACTGGGGAAAAAAAGTTAAGAAACCTCACATTTATCTTGAGAAAACATTTGCTGGAAAATAAGACTATCAGTTTCTGTACTTCCTACATCAGTCCTGATGTACTATTACAATAGCTAGCTGAATAAAAACCTATTTTCTGTCTTTTTCTTTCATAAAGCAAACAAAGCACATTCAGTTTCTGTAGACTGACATTAGTTCTCAATGCTGTAAATTAACTGCCCTCTCCATGCACAGTTTGGCTTGGTCCAGAGCCAGAGAAAACACTTACCATTTAAGCTGATTTCTTAAAATATTTTCACATTCTTTTCCAGGATAATAAAAGAGCCCCAAATAAAACACTGAGTAGTGTTCTAATAGTACTATAGGTTCCTTGTTCCCAGTAGGATTGGAAGATACCTGTGAATGAAAATATAGGCTACTTTATCTAGCCTTATGACTTGAACAAATTATTTTGTTCTGTACATGAAGTGCATTGCCTTTTATGAAACACCAATGCTCACAACCATTTTTATCCTCTTGTTCTAGTACATCATCTGAGAAGGCATAATATAGGATACCTCTATATCTGAGGTAAAATTTCCAGGTAGAGTATATGTTTTCACACTAGCTCTAATTTAGCTTGTACACTTAAAAAAAAAAAAAAAAATACAAGTGTAGCTGTGGTGGCCAAAACAGCGTGATGATTTAGCTGTTCCATATCCAACCCCTTCAAAATCTAAAGTATGTAGTTGGGGCAGCTAGACTGTCCTGATGTTTGTGCCCCTACAGTGACACTTCTATTCATTGTACATTGTTAGTCTACTGGTTGGAGCATTACAAATCCAATTTCTCCTACCTTTAACAGCTGCATTTCCACATCTAAAGCAATGTTTGAGACACATCCAGCCCACTTAATTGGCCTTATTAACATAGGTCCTACAATTGACAGGTACTTCTTTTGCTGTTTTATTTATTTCCACTCTAATGAATCTGATGAAGTGGGTGTTACCCACGAAAGCTCATGATTCTATATATTTTGGTTAATCTCTAAGGGTATGTCTACACTAGCCCCCTAGTTCGAACTAGGGAGGCTAATGAGGGTGACCAAAATTGAAAATGAAGCGCGGGATTTAAATATTCTGCGCTTCATTAGCATGTTCCCAGGCAGTCGCCATTTTGGAAACTGATTACTCCGGAATAACTGTCCGTGTCTACACGCGTCAGTGAAATGGGAGTTCAAAGTAAACCCCTTAACTCGAATTAGCTGTTAAACCTCATTCCACGAGGAGTAACAGCTAATTTGAGTTAGGGGTTTACTTCGAACTCCTGTTTCACTGCCACTTGTAGATGCAGGCAGTTATTCCGGGCTAGTCAATTTCCAAAATGGCGACTCCCCCCCAGGAACATGCTAATGAAGTGCAAGATATTTAAATCCTGTGCTTCATTTGCAATTTCAGTCGCCTTCATTAGCCTCCCTAATTCGAACTAGGGGGGTAGTGTAGACGTACCCTAAGGGATGTCTATACTACAGAGAAGATCATAGCTGCCGCATTTGACCTTCCAGGGTTTGAATTAGCGGTTCTAGTGACTGCTTACTCCGATTCCTGTAATCCTCAGTGTACGAGGAGTAAGGAAAGTAAGGGGAAGAGTGCTCTATTCTGAAATAAGTGCTGTGTAGACAGTACCAAAAGTCTAAATAAGGTATTTTGACTTAAGCTATGCAATTAGTGTGGCTCAGGTTGCATAGCTTGTTTCGCTGCTTACTCCGATTCCTGTAATCCTCAGTGTACGAGGAGTAAGGAAAGTAAGGGGAAGAGTGCTCTATTCTGAAATAAGTGCTGTGTAGACAGTACCAAAAGTCTAAATAAGGTATTTTGACTTAAGCTATGCAATTAGTGTGGCTCAGGTTGCATAGCTTGTTTCGAGTTTAGCCCTGCTGTGTATGGGCCCTAACAGAAGAAATCAGTGGCCTTTGTGCTCCTGTATGTACTTTTGGTGCTGTCTATACAGTAGTTATTTCAAAATAAAACACTCTTCCCCCCAACTTCTCTTACTCCTTGTACAATGAGGGTTACAGGAGTTGGAGTAAGCAGTCCTCCAGCTCGACATTATTTTGACATTATGTCAAAATAACTGTTTGTGTGTAAACGCGGACTATGTTATTTCAGAATAACGTCAATTATTCTGAAATAATGCTGTTGTGTAGACACAAGGTAAGTGTCTTTGAAAATCCTCCTCAAATTTTGCAGGATGTAAAAATTAAAAGTTGATTTTAGTGAAATGTCATAAAGTCTAGTCTACCACAAAAAAGGTTTCTGATATACTTATACTCAATGCCCCTTTAAGACACATGGCCCAGCCGACTGTCAGAGGTTTGCATACAGAGGTGCCGGTACGCTCCGTTCTTTCCAGGTAACCTCTGATTGGAGGTGCCAGGACTGTGTCTGGAGGTGCAGTACCATCACAATAAAAGCACTGGCTATACCTACAAACGCTGTAGCATAGTCACAACTTCTATAGAGAAAATGAGCTTTTGTCAGTATTGTTCCTTGAACAAAAAAAAAAGTTATTCCAATCAATGTAACTTTTACCCACACTAGAACTGTCTACATGAGGGCTACTGCCAGCATAACACTGTCATTAAAAAATTATATCCCTAATGTTATTATATAAGCAAATTTTCTAAGTGTAGACCTGATCCAAGATTGGTGTTAAAATCTCATTTTAGTGGAACTCACTGCAGCTTTTCGGAACTAAGAGTCATTAGAGGGTGGCTGTTGTATGTTATTTCTGGTGGGTATTTAACACAGCGGAAATCCTGAAGACTGTATCTGGTCTCTCATTATTAATGTATCTATCAGGTTTCTTGCTGACATAAATTCTAAAGATGGGGCAGAGTCCAGCAGTTGGGGAGGCTTCCTCCATGAGGAAAATTCATTCTTCTTTAGTATTCTGCTAATTAGGAAGCAGCAATTCCAAGTTAAGCACTCTGATGTGATACACAAGCATACCATTGCCAGAGCAAGTCACATGTTGAGAAATGTTGCCTTCTTTTCTAATTGTGTGACATATGCAGACTGGAACTTTTGTTTTTCCTATTATTGCATAACATCACTACCTGTACTGGTGATCCTAAGGTAAAATTATTGTTATTCCTGCATTTGTTGCTGTGGAAACCATCCTGATACTTCCTTCTTTGGGGCTGCCTGTCTAAATAGTCATGTTATTTACAGGAGCAAAAATCAGCATTGCTATATTTGTGACACATGCATAGAGAAGATAGGAAATGGCTTGTAACCCTTAGTTGTGACTGTGACCCCACCAGGGAAGGACTCACAAAATAATTCCATCTAGTCCTCCACAACAGAAAATATAATAGGCAAATACCAGGGATTGAATTTGTGTTGTGTAAAATGGGGGAGCTTCGGAGAATGCAGACTAATAGTGCACCCCAAAACCAAAAGATGTTCATTTTGATACTTCTATCAAGGTTTTCCTCCTTTCTTCTTGCCCTCCTAAATGACCGATGCCAGAGCTGTAAATTAGTAATTTAAAAATCATTGAGTACACTTCACATTTTCACTATATTAATCCCCAAAGGGGGAAATGTTTAGCTCTGGAATATGTTGACAATTTGCACATCTTGTTCCTAATTTATGCTCTATTTCAGTTTCTCACATTGCAGCTTTATGATCCCTCCTAGGAAGGATGCTTGTCTGAAATGTGCAAAAAGTTCCATTCATAATAGAAAATCACCCACTTGCCCTTTAGATGCTTTTGCACTCTCTGCTAAGTTTTTGGGCTTTTAATTTATTGTAACCTACTTCATCAGACAGCTTTTGCAGGAAAACATGTTTTTGTGCAACAATACCTTTCAGATTTAAGGTCCTGAGATTTAAAGTCAAAATAGCCATACCTTCCTTGAGTGGCATGTCTACCTGTAAAATCTATAATAAATTTTCTAATTTGGTTTAATCCAAACTATACGTACTCAGCTAGAATGCTTTGATTCCCAAACTTAAAAAACCTCTTCAGATCTGTTCTCCTGCTGTCATAGTTTCCTTTGGATACATCCTGAAGAAAGCCTCTCTGAGATATGAAACATTTTACAGTGTGCTCTGCAATGCCTAATTCTTCATTTTATTAATACAATAATATAATGCATTTGAGCTCTCTGCAGTATTTTGATAAGATTCCATGGGGGCTTATCCTTTTCAAGCTCTACTAAAATGTACAGAGGATGAACCACTGGGGGCTGAAATAGGTGGCCTGCTGACCATTTGTACCCAAAAAGATTAGACAGCATGGATCAAGACTGTTCCACAGACATGTTTTCTGAAAGAAAGATCCCTACAGTGTTCCCTCATTAACTTCTAAATGCTCCAGACGAGGCAACTGGGAAGGGGATTCAGTTCCTTGATATGACCAAAAATACTTAAGACAAAATACAACACACAGCCACAGAGATTACAAGGGGCAGGGTGTTGTTGATTGGTGTTCACACTATTAATTAGGCTAGTTTTAACAGATTTATTTTAAGAAATTTCTAACTTCCTAGGTGAATAAAATAGGGGAAAAAAAAAGTGACATGAAGGAAAACTATTCAGACAAAGCCTCCTTTGGTTTCACCAAAAGGAGGCACAGAACTGCTGTAAAAAGCCTGAACAAAGAGAACAAAAAGATTATTTTAAATGCATGCTGAAAATAAAACTCAGCTATGACATTTCAGCCTCCAGGAATTAGCTGTCAAGGAAAAGTCATAATTAGTGAGGTTTGGCATATGTGCAGTATTAATGACAACCGTGAGGCTTCAGGATATACAGTAATGTTGAAAGGGCTTAAAAAGCCATCTCGAAGAACACAAAACAACATTCTCAAGTTTATCAAATAAATATTACTGGCTATTCAAATTTTTTAAATGTATATTTTGACTATCATAATTTTATTACAAGCTCCAGAACTGGTTGAAAAACCTGAAGTATTTTGGCAAAGATTTATTTAATCAAAAATTGACTTTGATGAAACATTTAATCAAAAACATGAGATTCCAAAAATGTCACCCATCTTTAATTATACATGTAGCTTTTGAGGATGATGAATTAGCACTCTCCCTTGGACTCCCTCCTGCATAGTAGGAGTTAGAGGCTGTGGCTCAGATCTTTGCAAAGGCAGTGTTCCCCGGTTTTTAATAAGAACTTCCTTCATTTGACTTTATGGCAGAAATCCTGGCTCTTCTAACGTCAATAGCAAAATTCCAGTGATTTCAGAAGGGACAACCTTTCACCACACTTTATATTATACATGGCAATGACCTTCACATTGGCAATAAATAAGGCAAATTTACAAATCTTAATACACATTTTTAAAAAATAAACTCAGTTAAGAGAGTTCAGTAATTTCCTATATGTTTATTTATT